TCGAAGGTGATTTCAATTTACTTTTGGTGGCCAAGCATTTAACATCTACGTTGCAAAATTTTATAATGTTTATTTATCTTTTATTTTTATTCCATGGATGTGTTTTTCTTTTTGAATTTTCTATTTTTATTGGCATTTTGCACCTGTTCTTCCAATCTTACATATTTTGCCTTCAAGGATTCTTCTCCTCTTTTAGCTTTCTGTTCTTTCTTTTATTTCTCTATTTCTCACATCTTTTCTTTTTCTTTATTTTCGTTTACTTTCTTTTTTCTTAAACATTCTTTTTTTTTCTTAAACATTCGAAATGTTTCTTTTTTTTACTGTCCCCTTCATCGCTTTCCTTCATTTCTATTTTTTTCTGGTTTTAAATTCATTCTTTCTTTCTTTCTTTTTTGTGTCTTTCTTCCTTCCTCTTTTTCTTTCTTTCTTTCTTTCTTTCTTTCTTTCTTTCTTTCTGTTTTGTCTTTCTTTCTTTCTTTTTTCTTTCTTACTTTCTTTCTTTCTATCTTCCTTACTTTCTTCCTGCCTACCTTTCTTTTTTCTTTCTTTCTTTCGTTCATTCTTTCACTTTCCTTCCTTCCTTCCTTCCTTCCTTCCTTCCTTCCTTTCCTTCTTTCTTTCTTTTCCACCTTTCTTTTCCACCTTTCTTTCTTTCTTTCTTTCTTTCTTTCTTTCTTTCTTTCTTTCGTGTTAGCTTGTTTGCTTATTTTCAATTCTTATTCATGTTTGTCCCGATATTTGCTTTTAGCCTGCAGCATTTATAACAATGCTAATGTCCCCTAAACCGAAAAGTTCAAAACTTGAGTCGCTCTCGATGTAAACACACTTCCGTACAAAATCCACATTCGCACACAGAAAATTAAGCATATTCACATAATATTACTGACATTCAATACATGCACAATATACATTCGCACATGTGCATGTTTTAATTTAATCGAGCATCACACATCAAGTGCCTACATGAATAGTTTCTTCCACTTCATACAGTCGTACTCAATAAACATACTTATCTTTATATGCGTTTTCAGGAAAGAAATATCTGCAAAAATTTGATGAACTAAATCCATCTTAGATTAACCTGCGTGTAATTAAGAGTAAGTAGCGAGCTAAATTCTTTACGGTAAAGAAACAACATAGTTTACAAATTCAAGTGCTTTTTGGGAGATTGTATCTTCAACGGATTACATAATATTTATGTGGGTCACACCACAAACTCGCTTTCACGACGCTTGTCATTACATTTGAATGATAACTGTAAAACAACATGCCTGACCGCATACACAATTCAGGAAAATGCTTGTTCAAAACACAACTATACTTAAACATGAAAAGAATAAGCAAAAACTAAAAATTCTTCAAGCAGTTGAAACTTAACCTGAACCAAACAAACTATGAAATCTTCAGAAATATTCTTAAATGCGTATATTGGTTTATACCAACGACTTCCCATACGTAATATTTCTCGTTTTCACACTCCCGAGGTCATGTGTGACTTAATGAGCTGCGGTGTGATTTTCGCTAACAGCATCTCGTATGCACGAGTTTGTCGTTGCTTGGAAATCTTCCGTGTAATCAAAAATAGACTATCAATATTGTTTTGCCTGTGTAATGTTTAATATATTGTAACGGAATTGTCATCTTTGATAGTGGCTTATGTAAGCCAAAAGATTAGAAAGGATAAAAAAAAATGTCTATCAACATGATTTTCTTTCATCTTTTAATGATAATGTTATTAAGCTTATCAGACGATATGAAAAGAATTTTACACAAATTTACACAACCTCACTTAAATTCTGACCTTGTGTTTTCTTGCCTTCTCTTCTCTTTCACAAAAAAGAAGGTGTATTTTGCTTTTGAAATTGAAAATAATCATTTACTCACCAGTTATTCACTATCACCTGAAGCGGCAAGATTTAGCGCCGAAAGATGTTGTGTAGCCATATTTACTGTCTTATTTAAGCTCCGACAATGAATAATATAAAGTACTTTGAATACGACCGACAGTGGAATTATACATTTGTTGTTATATATATATATATATATATATATATATATATATATATATATATATATATATATATAAAAAGAAATATGAAAAGAAAGAACAGAGATTTAAATTCAATACGTCATAATTCTTTTTACTTTCGTTATGACTACTTCTCAACCTTGATATTGTGTAATTGTAATCCCGTGTCCTAATGATTCACGAGAAGATTTTTTAATCTTTGAGAACACAAGTTGAATTTTAATTATTTATATATATATATATATATATATATATATATATATATATATATATATATATGCAAATATTTATAAACATATGCATGATATATTTAAGCGTAAATGTGGTCAGTGTCAGGGATAGAGAGTATAAAAATGTAAAGTGGAAACGAACTTCAACGAAGCAGCGACACACACACACCCACACACGCACGCACACACATACACACACACACACACACACACACACACATATATATATATATATATATATATATATATATATATATATATATATATATATATAAAAAAATATATACGGAAAAAACAAAACAAGAATCCTTATATACGATTATGCTGTTTTAATGTTAATATGTCAACGTCTGACGTTTCGGTCTAATAAACCATCTTTAGAACATATTCATAAATATAACATTATCAATACAAACATGACAAATACATTAGAACAAGAATTAGAATTGTTCTAATGTACATCGTCTTTGTCATATATATATCCATATATTTGCTTACACACACACACATATATATATATATATATATATATATATATATATATATATATATATATATATATATATATATATATATATTAAGTAATTCCTCGAATCTAGAAGAAGCATCAAAAGAATGCAATGAACGGCCATCTCGTCCCATATTTGGGATTCATCAGCTTTTTGCATACCAAGAATTGAAATCCGGACACTTACGAGATAAACGTCATATCAAGTGTATCAACGTAGAGGTACCGAATTAAACACGATATATCACCGCTCGATCAAATATGCCGTGGTGGAACTCATCCGTGTTTCATTAAATATATCCCCAAGCAGCTCCATTCAGAGCATTAGACGCCGGTCCAAGCAAGGATATACAAGTGATGAATATACGGACAGGGGAGACAGTCAGTTTCATGTTATGACATTGCAAACCAAACGCTCTCTGTAGCCCAATCGGTTAAGACACGTCACGCTGTATGACGGTTCCGTATAGTATACAGGTTCGATTCCTGTCGAATGAATATTTCTCGGACATTCAGGCCGGTAAATGTTGTTAATAATGTTTATTATAAACAGAGCATTTACTTAAATATTTGTATCTATAAAAACAGTGTATAAACATAAAAATGTCAGGTCTGTATGTTCGGCCCTTCAAAAAGTGTGGATGGTCCAGCACGAAACATTCAACACTATAATTAAATCTCATGTGCTGTTGTCGGGCTGTCGGTTTCCTAGGAAATGATCTGCTTTATCCTTATATGCCAAATTCGACGGGAGAGTCGAGTCGTGAGTATATATATATATATATATATATATATATATATATATATATATATATATATATATATATATATATATATGATGTTGATATCACTATTTCTAGCCCAATTAAATGCAGTGGCCAGCAATGTTTGTATTAAATGACGCAACGTCATTATTTAAGTCGGCAAATTATAATGGAATTAATTTCAAAGCGGTGAAAATTTCATGTATTTTGATATAATTATATAGTCATTAACAAAAGATTGAAATATAACTTCGTGTATACGCAGTTGAAAAGGTAAAAAAAAAAAAACATTTATTGGGTTAACGACAGTTTTTATACGTCATTGTACGCATGCGCGAGATACATCTTCCGACCAGTTTGCTATGTCCCTCTCACCAAAAAGACTCTAAAAGCTTTCTGACTTCCAGAGTAAAAACGGAACAGAATTTTAAGTAGACATTACTCTCTCACTTTTTAAACAGTGAATTTAAAAAACAAAAAGTCGAATAGTGTGTGTGTGTGTGTGTGTGTGTGTGTGTGTGTGTGTGTGTGTGTGTGTGTGTGTGTGTGTGTGTGTGTGTGTGTGTGTGTGTGTAACGAATGCACGGACGAAATTTTCGAAATTTTTTGCACCAACATTTACATGCACATGCTCAAAGTTAGTGGGAAGGCTAAGACCGACTTGCATTTCCCAACTCCCATCGATAGTGAAAATAATCGATTTTTCATGCTTCTACGGCAGTTTTCATGTAGTTTGCGGCCATTTTCTACTGGCCAGAGTGAGAGCCAATAGCTGGCTGCCAGGAATAGGCAGGAAGATTCTATTGGCCAGCGTGAGAGTCAACAGCTGACTGACAGGAATGTTAACTAGCATGCAAAAAAAAAATCGATAGCTGCATTCGTCACAAGTGGGAAAAATTAAATCTGCATGGCACTTTACTCCAATTGGCTCATTCGCTTGCTTAAACTCAACGTTGATTCTGATTCCGCAGAACGGGGTTGAGTATGAAAAAGTATTTGTTGTTAACATTCTTTTTTCCCAGTTACGAATCCTTTTTTAAAGATGATCGTTTTGTGTTTATTTTGTTTAGTTCTTTTTTCGTAACAGATTTAATATTTAGTATAGAGCTTCGAAAAATTCGCAGTGTGAGATAGGCAAGAAGTAAGGCGTGTAGCAACATCAACACGGCAAAGGGCACTCCTTTAAAAGCAAGGAAGGGCAAAAATATTTTAAGTCAAGTGATAGCGATTGCTGTATGAGTCGTACGATTTTTTAATCAAACACGGGCAACGCCGGGCCATGATGCTAGTTGGTTAACTAAATATCCGTCATTTTTGACGTTATGTGTAAATCATTTGTGTATATTTATGAAATACAGCCTACACTGTTAGAAATTGTAATATCAATGTAATTCTAAAGATTTTGTTGGCAAAACACTTCGGAAAATGCGGATAGGCTTTTTATTTGTAAAATAGACTAGAAACATCAA